ATTCCAGCTCTGTTCATTAATTACCTGCATTAATTAGTGCCTCTGGAAGCACCCTGGGATCCTCCTCCCTCCTTTCTTGGCATTCCCAGGGGCTTTGGGGGTGGATGAATCAGCCTTCCCTCTCCAGGGCTGTTTTTGGGAGCTTAGGCCATATTCAGAGGGGTTATCCTGGTGGGGGGGAGGTTTCCAGGTTTTTTTTCTGCTGGATTTTTGGGAATTGGGATCCAAATCCAGCTCCAGTTTCTGTTGGCTGAGGAGGCTGAAACTGGGGGTTGATCCAGGGCTTTTCCAGCTCCTTTCCTCCTGTGACTCCCATTTCCTGCTCCAGCTGCTGTTGGAGATTCCCTTCTTCCCCCTCTCCCACCCCCTGGAACAGCAGGAACCCCAGGAACCCTGCTTCCTTTTCCCCCCAAATCCCAATCCTCTGCATGGCTTGGGAAGGATTTGCAGCATCTCACATCTGGGATGTGAGCAGCTCCACAGGGAATTTTGGTGCCTCCAAATCCTTCTTTTCCTTAAATCCATCTCCCATCCCATTCCATCCTGCTCAGCTTTGATCCAGTCAGGAAGACAAATCCTGCTCTGCACCCCCTGAGGGTTATTTTCCCTTAGAGAAAGGCTGGTATTTCCAAAAACTCGAATTCCAGCAGAGGAAAAGTGGGAAGAGGGATAAGAGGACACGTTTTCCATTCCCAGGCAGCTCTTCCCATACGAAAATAAAAAAAAAAAAAGGAATTTCCAAGCCCAGGCAGCTTTTTCCACACGAAGAAATGGGATTTCCCCAAAAAACGGGATTTTCAAGCCCAGGCAGCTCTTCCCACCCAAAACCTGGGATTTCCATGCCATTCCCACACCCAAACTCACTTCCCTGCCCCTCTCCCTGAGTCCTGGGGTGTTTTCCGAGCCCAGGGGGCTCCCGGACACTCCGAGGGGCCCATTCCTGACTCCTGGTGGGATTTGTTCCGGCAGCTCCGCGCAGGAGATGAAGCACATGGAGAACCTGTCCAGCCTGGCCCAGGGCAGTGGCCCCATGGAATTCCAGCCCTCGGAGCGGGAGCAGCCCTGGGAGCTCATCATGGACAAGAAGCACTTCAGGCTGTGGCGGAGGCCGATCCAGGGATCCCACCTGTACCAGTACCGAGGTATCCATGGGCTTTTCCATGGCCCAGGTCCCCTGGGATTGGGCCTCACTCATCCCTGTCCTCAGGAAAAACAGGAATTACCATCCTTTACACCCATCCCTGCTGCTCCATCCCACTTTATTCTTCCAGAGGGCCTTAAAACTCCCCTTTCCCTCCTAACCCTGCCCTGGGATCAGGAGTTGCTCATTGCCAATCCTTTCCTGGGATCAGGAGTTCTCATTCCAGGCTCTGTTTTCCAGTGTTTGGATCCTACACGGATGTGACTCCTAGGCAGTTCTTCAATGTCCAGGTGAGCAGCACCTTTGGAATCACTTCAGGGGGTGGGATGGAGCTCCAGGAGCCTCTTCCAGAGGATGGGATGGGGGAACTGGGAATATTCCCTTCCCTTTGTACCATTTGCACGATCCAGAGCTGATCCCAGTGGATTATCCTGTTCTCCAGGTGGGTTTTGCTGCTGGAAGTGAAGGATTGGGCTGCAGGATCCCAGTGGATTCCTGATCCCAAGTTCCTCTCTCCCGACTTCCAGACTATTCCAGGATATTAATAATTCCCTGCCTGCCCATGACATTGAATGTTCCCACAGGAGACAGGGAAAAAAAAAAAGGATATTTCCCTCTCTTCATCCCCCTCTGCTGGAATTTCCACTGACTTGGCTTCTCTCCCTTCCCAGCTGGACACGGAATATCGGAAGAAATGGGATTCCCTGGTGATCAAACTGGATGTGATCGAGCGGGACGTGGCCACGGGCTCCGAGGTGATTCACTGGGTCACCCACTTCCCGGTGAGTCCCCGCCCATCCCGGGATCTGCCCTGGGCAGGGCCGGGAGCAGGGGCTGATCCCAATCCCGGGGCCCTTCCTGCAGTATCCCATGTATTCCCGGGATTACGTCTACGTCCGGCGCTACAACGTGGACAAGGAGAACAACCTGATGGTGCTGGTGTCGAGGTGAGTGTTCCTGGAGGGAATTCCCACCATTCCCATCCCTAAAGATCCACGGGGAGCTGGGTATAAACTTAACTGACTTTACTGACCCCCATCGATCCCGCCGAGATTCATTTGGGAAATAAAACAACTGGTTTTTGGGGGAAAAATGTCAGGTTTTTACCCCCCACCTCCAAAAAACTGGTGGATTCTGGGTGTAATTGGCACCCTGAGCTCACCTTGGGATGCTCCTCCTCCTCCCAGGGCTGTGGAGCATCCCAGCGTTCCCGAGGATCCCGAGTACGTCCGGGTGAGGACCTACGAGTCCCAGATGGTGATCCGACCCCACAAAACCTTTGATGAGGTAAATCTGGGAAAGGGGGCGGAAAACCTGGCGTGGGGAGGATCCTCCTGCTGCTCCAGAGGGAGCTGCTCGTTCTCCTGCCCTGGGAGCTGGGCAATAATCCAAACATCGGGAAAGTCCAGCCCTAGGGATTGAATTTGATGATCTTTAAGGTCTCTTCCAGCCCAAACCATTCCATGATTTATGGGAGGAGGGTGAGTTATTTTTCCAAAGGCAAGGAAAGCATATGCATGTGTGGCTTGGGAAGGATTTGCAGCTCTATCTCACTATCCTGGGACTTTTCCTTCAGGAATTTGGTGCTCTTGAGGGAGCCAAACACTCCCTTTCAGAGCTCCCTTTACAAAGCCACGAGCCTCCCAAGTCTCATTCCAAGCACTAAATCCTCTTGGAAAAAGGCTTGTGGGTTATTTCCAGGCCGTCCAGAGCATGGATAGAGCTTGGAATACTCAGGGAATGCCACCCCCTCCTCCCAAATTCCCTCCTGGTGGGATTTCCTTGGGTCTTTTGTCAGTGCTCTCAGAGGCTCCGGCAGCTTTTCCTGTGGGATATGAGCAGCTCCACAGGGAATTCCTTGGGGGAGGTGGGAGCGGCTCCAACAGGGGTTTGAGATGGGCTGGGGATCCCAGGAATGTTTGTCCCCCCAGAATGGGTTCGATTACCTGCTCACCTACAGTGACAACCCCCAGACCGTGTTCCCGCGCTACTGCGTCAGCTGGATGGTCTCCAGCGGTGAGTGCCCGGAATTCCCTCGGGATCCTCCCTCCACGGGGCCCCCCTTCCCTTCCCGCTCCAGAGCAGGGAGGGGGATACATGGAGGGGCTTAAAAAGTGACATTATGGGGGGAAAAATTGGGAAGGACCAAAAAAAAATAATTGGGAGGGACAGAAAGATTCAGGAGGGAAAGGAAAAGTTTGGAGGGAAAAGAAAAATTGTGAAGTAAAGGGAAAATCAGAAGGGAAAGGAAGAACTGGGAAGAAGAAGAACCTGGGGGGAAAAGAAAAACTGGGAGGGAAAAGGAAAAATTGGGAAGGACAAGAATCAGGAGGGAAAGGAAAAATTAGGAGGGAAAAAACAAGGAGAGAAAGGGAAAATCAGGAGGGAGAAGAATGAGGTGAGCTGGGAACGGAGCTGGAGGAGGGGATGGATTGGGAGCCTCTTCCCTCAGCAATCCTGGATCCCAGCGGGCTCTCCCTCCCCCTTTTCCCAGGAATGCCGGATTTCCTGGAGAAACTGCACTCGGCAGCACTGAAGGCCAAGAAGATGGAGCTGGAGGTCCGGGATTACCTTTCCAAGGGCTCAGACACGGCCCCAGAGCCCTGTGGCCCCGCCCAGCTGGAATATGCCTGAGGCGCTGGAATTCTGGGAATTGCCTCGGACAGGGACCTGTGCTGTGGGATTTCAGCCCCATTTTCCCTCCCCATCCCATTCCTGATGCTCAAGGACAGGGATTTGTTCCCCCTGCTGCGTGTCTGTGGTGGAATCTGCGTCTCCTGGTCGATGTTTCCTCACCCCAACAGGGAAAAACCATGGAATTCCCACTTCTTCTGGCAGTGGGTTCTCCCCACTCCTCATCCCTGCTCAGACTGGAATGTTTTCGGGATGCGGTGGCACCACAGGGATTGGTGATGGTGCTCCACGTCACCATTTCCACGGGGTTTTCCCCCCAGAAACAGCCCTTTGAACTCATCCCTTTGGGATTTCTGGGACTGGGGGTTGGGATTACTGGGATGGGGGGTTGGGATTACTGGGAAGGGGCGTTTGAACTGGTGAAACTGGGAAAAAAAAGGCAGTTTTGGGGGGGTTTTAGGGATTGGGGGGCACTGGTGCTGCCCTGGGTCACCCTGAGCCCCCTCCCCAGTTTGGGGGGTCTCCGTCGGCCTTGGGAATCTGGGAAAACAGCAGGAGCAGGAAACTACTTAATAAACATCTAGGATCTTCATTAGCTCCTAATTAACGACCCCCCTTCTCCCAGTCACCAGTTTGGGGGGGGTTGGGCCCCCCTTTAATCATCGCTCTAAATTCTCACTTTATAATAAATTTATCCTAATTTTATCACTCCCTTTGGAACATCCAATTTTCACCTTCCCTCCTTACCAAAATTCAGACCCCCAGCCCAATTAGCACCAATAATTAATGAGGAAAACTTCAGGAGAGGGAACCATCTCCCTCACACCTGGAATTTTGGGGGAGTTTCCAGTGGGTCTAATTTTTTTTGGGGGGGTTTCCAGTGGATCCCACCTCCCCATAGACTGGAATTCTGGGGATGGGGGGGTCCACTGGGTTCCACACCCCTCCTCCCCCCCCATTCCCCAGCATGGAATTTTGGGGAGGTTTCCCGCTATTTTGGAGGGGGTGGGGGGTTGGTGCTGTGGGTTTCACACCCCTACCACCACCCCCCCCGATGAAGCAGCACTGGTGGGAAGGGGGGGTTCCCAGGGTTCCCAAATCCCACCCTGACCCTCCCCCTGAGGAATTTTGGGATCTGGGAATGCCAGCGGTGGGACACACCTTTATTGCACACAGAGAGCAGCAGGCAGCGGGTGCAGGGGGGAAGCTGGGGGTCCTGGGGGGGGGGGAGTTACAACCCCTCAGCCCCCCCAGCCCCCTTTTTGGGAGGGGGAAAGGGGTGTTTTCCCTGAGTTTCCCCATCCTGAATCCCCCCAGGGTGGCTCAAACTGGGGGGGCCCCAAGGAACCTCGTACCGGGACCCCCCAAAGAACCTCGTACCAAGGGGTCCTGGGGGTGGCTCCCCGGTGGGATCCTGTCCCTTGGGGTCCCCCCAGGGGGTCACAGCAGGTTCTTGTTGCGCTTGGGGACGATTTTCCTCACGGTCCTTCGCTCCGAGATGTTCCTCCGGACACGGACGGTGGGGCCCGGGGGGGGCTCAGGGGCCAGTGAGGGGCTCGAGTGGGCCTTGGTCAGAGTGGGGGGGTCTGGGGGGGCCCCCCCTGCCTGCGCCTCCCACCCCTCCAGGTCCCGGGCGCCCGAGTTCAGCCACGTCTCCAGCACCTGCACGTAGGTCTCGTAGCGCCGGCGCTGGGGGGACGAGGGGGTCACGGACGGGTCACCCCCCCGGTCACCACCCCTGTCCCTGTGTCCCCTCATGTCCCCAGGGTCTCTCTGTTCCATAGCAGTGTCCATCCCATGGGAAAATTGGGGTGGGGATGGACCACCACTATGGGGACATTACTGGTGTCCTCATGTCCCTGTGTCCCCTCCCCATCCCTGGGGTCCCCCTGTCCCACAGTGATGTCCATCCCATGGGAAAAATAAGGATGGGAATGAGCCACCATCACGGGGACATTCCTGGTGTTCCCAGTGTCCCCCCTGTCCCACAGTGCTACCTAGGCCACCAGGAAGATAAGGATGGAGATGAGCCATTGCCATGGGGACGTTCTGGTGTCCTCCGTGGAGAAGAAAAGGACTAAAATAAGAAACCACCCTGGGGACCTCCCCACTGTCCCTGATGTGTCCGGTGTCCTGGTGTTCCCCCTGCCTCGGGTGTCCCCATGTCCCCACCCACCTCCTCCAGCAGGAATTCCTTCTTGACCCGATACTCGTCCAGGTCCCGGGCACGGCCCCAGCCCTCGGGGAGGTGCCTCTGGTGCTCCAGGAGCTCCTGCCCCACCCGCTCCAGCCACTGCTCGTGGCACCGCAGCTGCTCCTCCTGGGGGGAGACCAGGGCTGACCCCCACCCACCCACCCCGGGGGCTCGGGGGGGACTGATGGGCACCCAGGGGTGTCTCCACCCACCCAGGGGGCTTGGGGGTCTCACCGTGGGCTGTGGGGAGGATGGAGCTGGTTGGGCACCCAGGGGTGAACCCTCCTACTCAGGGGGCTTGGAAGGGTCTCACTCGGGGGCTTCAGCTGGGGGTGATGGGCACCCAGGGGTGCCACCCCTATTTGGGGGTCCCAGGGGTCTTACTGGGGGGCTCCTGCTGGGGGCCGTGGGCAGGATGGGCCTCACGAAGCGTCGCTGGGACCCCACGGCCGCCGGGAACGGAGGGGAGGAGAACAGGGCGGCCACGAGATTGATCCGGGAAATCCAGGACAGCATCTCCTCGGGGGTGCTGGATCGTGACATCACCAGTGACGTCACCGGTGCTGTCACACCCTGCAGGGACCCCCTGCCGTGACTCCCTTTTTTTTCCCCCCCAGGTCACTCACGGGGCCTGGAACAGGAACAGCCTCCGCTCGGCCGTTTGCAGCCGGAACACGTTGGGCCGCTTGGTGTATTTGGGGGCCCTCTCAGCCAGGGCATGATGGACCCCCAGGGGCTCCTCGGCCCCCCCACCCTCCTCTGGGGGGGCCCCGGGGGGTCCCGGCTCTGAGGGGCGTCGGGAGACCCCCCGGGCCCCCCCCCCGGCCTTGAGGAAGAACAGGAAGGTCCCGCGGAGAACGGCTTGGAAGGGCTTCCAGCCCCGGCGGCCCCAGGGAGCTGGAACGGCGGGATGCAGGTGGGACAAAAAGGACACCCCAAAAATAGCCCCCTACAGTGAGACACTGCCTCGGTGCAGTGGAGCCTGAAATGGGCCCCCCCCCGATCACAGTGGAGCTCAAATGGTCCCACATCTGTGTCCCACTCCCAAAGCTGCGTCCAGACATCCCAACGCACCCCAAAGTCACCCTTTGGGACCCTAAAGAGGAAGAGACAGCGCAAATATGCCCCCCCACCAACTCCAAACCACCCCAGATCTAACCCCCCACAAGCCTGACCCAATGGATCCCAAATCTACCCTACAACACCCCAGCTCTGCTCCCCTGGATCCCCAAAATCCCAAATCTGCCCCTCCAGATCCAAACGCCCCCCAAATCTTATCCCCTGAGCCCCAAAACCACCCCAGATCTGCCTCCCTGCACCCCCTAACCCACCCCAAATCCTTCCCCCTGTACCCCAAGCCCCCCAAATCCCCTCAGACTCACTTTTCTTGCCATCAGCCTCTGCCAGGACCTTCCTGGCCAACCACCCCCTGCGGAAGGTCACGGCCCCCCCTGGCAGCTCCGGGATTTGGGGGAGGATCTTCTTCCCTCCCCTGGCCTCTTCCTCCTCCTCCTCCTCCTCCCTGTGAGATGCTCAGGATCACAGGGAGCCCCCCCCAGCCCCCAAATCCCCCCCAAGCTCCCCCCACTCACGTCGCCCACTCCAGCTTCTTGCTGCGGATGGAGCCGTAAAGAGCCTGGGGAGGGAAATTGGGGGGGTCAGGGGGTGTGGGGGGGGCTTGAGGGGGTTCAGGGGAGGGAACCCCCTTTTTCAGCCTCAGGGCCCCCCCGAATACCTTGAGCTGCTCCCTGGGAAAGTCCTGCCCGTCGTTCATCCCACTGAGGTTGGACACGAACTCGGAGCTGGTCATGGCCCGGCGCAGGTGCTGGGGGGGCAAATTTGGGGGTGTTGTGAGCTGGGGGGGCACAGTTGGAGGGTGGGGGCCCCAAATCCAGCCCAGAAATTGGGGAGACCGCAAATCTGCCCCCTGCCCAGGTCCAAAACAACCCCAATCTGTCCCACTGGGGCCGCCAAAACCTCCAATCTGCCCCCAAAATGCCTCAAATGTGCCCTCCCAGATCCCAACACACCCCAAATCTGCCCCCTGCACCCACCAAACCCCCAGTCCACCCCCTGGGACCCCCCAAAATTCCCCATCTGCCCCAAGCCATTCCCCAAACCCCTTCCCCCTCACACCCTCATATCCCCCCAGCCCCTCCAAAAAAGGCAGGGTGTAGATTTTGGAGGGTTTTTGGAGTCCCCCCTCGTGCTCACCTGCCCATGCAGGTCCGTGTTCAGCAGCATCAGGGCACAGGTGAGGGAGTGAACCGAGTCTGGGGGGTTGGGGGTGTCACATGGGGGTTCTACCACCCCCCAGGTGAGGGGACCCACCCCCTGAACCCCAAAAGGTGCAGCTGGGGGGGCCCCGGGGGGCTGGGACAGGGTGTGGGTGAGTAGGGAAACTGAGGCACAGAGGGAGGTGAAGGAGCTTTGTGGGGATGTGGGGACGGTTTGGGGGGCTGAGGGGGATTTGAGGGGGCTGGAGGGTGTGAGGAGACCCCCCCCCAGTAAGGGCACCCACCCCCTGAACCCCAAAAGGTGCAGCTGGGGGGGGCCTTGTAGCCCTGGGAGAGGCTGGGTGGGGAAACTGAGGCACGGGGGGGGTTAGGGGGCATTAACCAGCTCTGGGGGTCCCCGAGGGGTGTTTGGGGTCTGGGGTCTCACCGGGGGACGGGAAGGCCCCGGGGTTGCAGCGGTGGAAGCGCCGGGAGAAGTGGCCCAGGACCCGCTCCCGCTCCTGCGTCTCCCCCGACAGCACCAGGGCCTGCAGGAACGACCTGGGGGAACCCCGGGCTGGGGGACCCCAAAAACACTCCCCAGGGGCACCACCGGGGTGGGGGACCCCAAAAATACCCCCCTAGGGACATCTCCAGCATGGGGGACCCCAAAAACACATCCCCTTGGGTGTGTTTCTGCCCACTTGGACCCCAAATCTGCCCCCCTGGACCCCAAATCTACCCCCCTGGATCCCTCATCACACCAAATGTTCCCCCCCCCCGACCCCACCATTCCCCAAACCACCCCACATCTCCCTTCTTCACGTCCCCCAACCCCCCATCCCTCCCACCCCCCTATCCATTTTGGGGTGTCCCTTTGCCCCCCCAAAGCCCCACCCAGCCCCCTCCCATCCCAACCTGAGCGCCTGGTCCAGCATCTGCCCCTGGAACTGGAAGAATTCCAGGTATTCCTGGGCCACCATCGCGCTGAAATCATTGCTGGGGGGAGCACACGAGTTTGGGGGGGTGGGTTTGGAGCCCAGGGGACCCTCAAAAGGGGGAGGGGACCCCCCAAATCCTTACTTTTTGCGGAGGAATGAGGCCACCTGGGATTTCCGGACGCCCTCCAGGTGGAACAGGCGGGAGGCCAAACGTTGGGCCTCCCCCCGCCCTGGGTGGGACCCCCCCCCGGGGGGCTCCACCGGCCCCCCTAAAGGGGATCTGGGGGGGGAAGGAGGGGTCAGGCAGGGCCGGGGGTGGAGG